TCTAGCTGGGGTTGCCTGGAATTGAACCTTTGACCTGTTTGTAAGGAAGGCATGTTCACCACCACTGAGCTACAGCCCTTTATCACCTGCACTCTGCATAGTTGACCTTGGGGATCTAGCAAATACCCAGGACAGTTCCTAGTGCTGAATCAGTGGGATGAAGGATTACTTAAGGATTATGCATTGTTTCCAAAGGAGGAGAATGGTGCAGGCAGAGGTGGGAGTGGTGAGGTGTAATGTAATAAACTAGGCAGGGTTAGTCTTGTGCTACAAAACTGAGGATCTAGTGAAATGGAGGCCCAAGGCAACCTTCCATAGGGAGAGTTATGATTATACGTCCTGCCTCCACACACCACCTCACTAAGGAGCTGCGGCTTTCATTTTAGAGAAAGTTAAAACTGGAAGGGGATACTGAGCATATTTTATTGTTCAGCATTATTGTTTAGCCTTATTATGATTGAATTATAAATTATATTAAATACCAGCAACAAGCCTTGGAATAAAACTCAGAAGAATTGAGGTCTGCACAAACTTGAATGCTTAGGAATATGTCAAATTGCTCCCTCCCTATGGAAATTTTGTTGTTTGCACTAATTAGAAGGAGCTTCCCTCCCCACACCCCCGGGCTTAATACATTTTCGCCATGAGTTAAGTCATATTTGCCTTCCATAGAAGTGTCGTGAGCCTTACGACGTGGGGGTGGGGTTTTTAAAGTGAAAGACTTCTTCGAAATAATCTCAAAATAATCTTTGAACATTAATGCCACTTCCAATTTGTTTGCAATACAAAATACTACTCCAGCCACCGAAAAATTGATTAAACATTGGTGAGTTTAGTGTGTACTTCTCAGATGTGCCATCCTCCTTATCAATCACTTTTGGGTTGCTAGCTAGCTATTCAGCTAATCCCAAATAGAGTGAATTATATTTTTACACTTTCTGTGCATTCTGTTCCTCAGAATGCTTCACACTGTCTCAAGCAGTCATAAATATTAGAAATTAAACATGTCACTGCAACCTCTTTTAGTGAAAATTTGGGCCGTTATTAGTAGATTGCATTTCTAACCAGGTTGTGAGGTTGTGCACACCATCCAGAGGGGGCAGTTAACGGGGACCACATGAGATGATGTGGGGTGAGGAAGAAATGCTGTCTGCTGAGCACACCCAGATCTATTTTTGTAGTTCAGCTTAACGTGCACATCAGCCTCCAATATGCACGTGCAGAAGATGTATTTCAGAATGTGCTCTCTGTTTCTCCCTGCCTCCCTCCCTGGCCCATAGCTAATGACAGTGCCGCACATGTGCAGCAGTTCTTTGCTTCCAAATCCACTGTTGCGTGGGCAAACTGATAGCTATATCAAGGAGGCTGCAGATGATTCAAAATGCTCTATCAGTTATTCACAGAGAAACGTGCCACATTCATTTCCAATATATACTAAAAACAGTTCCAGGGTTCTGTCACATTCTGCTGTAACAGCCTATCAAGACAAAGAAATGGAATGTATTGTAGGCTTAGCACATGGAGCCTGACTTTGCTCTCCATAGCACCCATTGAGTTGTAAAGGAGAAATGTTCTTACTGTTCTAGTCATATTAGAACAGGGAGAACACAGCCATGAGGTACATAATAGTTCTTGCCCTGATGTCCCCACAAGCACACTGCTTTACTTTCTCTCATATTTCACACTTGCCCAGATGTTATGATACAGTTCTCCAATCAAACACTGTCCACAAAAATACATGCATTATAGGCAAGTGTGCATAAAAATGAAAATATGTGTGAAAATAACACAAAGGTATATTGTACTGGTGGAATTGCTTACATAAATTTGTACATAAATGTACATAAACATAAAAATATGTTTATTAGGATAAATTCACAAAAAATGCAAATAATTTTCATGAATACACATTTTTCCCCCATAGCAAACTGCTGCAGAAATGTGGATAAATGAATTTAAGACTGGAAAAATGAGAAACAAACAAAATGGGAATTTTTGGTTTGGGAGATGGTAGTGAGGCACATACAGTTCTATAAGGTGCTTGCATTTTATAAAGGCATGCTATAACTATTACAGAATCGGTAATGCACAAACAAGTGCTTATCTTTAGCTCATTAGCAGGCTGGGATGATTTTCAGCCCTAGTAAGGAAGAGATAAAGAGGTTTAAAATAAAGCTGCTTTCAATAACCTGCTTGCTAAATCTTCTGTGTGTTGTCTATGTGCATTGTGAAATCGGGAAGCTTGACATTGTAGAATTGAGGTCCCTTAGATAATGCCCAGCACCGCTGATCTAACCAGTTTCCAATCTGATAATCCAGGTATAACATTCTGGCTCTGGATTCGCTATTGGAAACTTGGCCCCCTAAGCACTAAAATCCCTTTTCCAGATCCGCTACAAATTGCCACCCTGGCCTCTAAAGGGCCTAATGCTTCACCTTCTTAGAGAACAGAAGACCAAGCAAGCTCTATCAGCCTGGATTATGTTGTTTTGTATGTTGCGTTAGATTGGGTCTTCATTTTACTGCTCCTGGAAGTTTCTCTTTCCCTCAACCACTGGGGTATTTGGAATTCCACCAGGTATGATATTTTGTTGTTGTTGCAAATTTGCTACCTAAGGCACCATTCCTAAGAATGCCTCCATTGAATTTAGTGGGCTATTTCTAAGTAAGCAGTGTTTACGATTGTCCTGTAAATGTCCTACTCTTCATTTCTCTGGTGCGAGCAATGCTCATCTCCAGTGAACCCACTGAGATTTTGGGTGCTTCCAGGCTGTTGCCATTTTCCATTTGCATTCAGCCACATACCGACAAAGTCAGGTTTGGGCTGTTATAGTTGCTTGGAAGGCCTTGTGGAACAATCCTGTTTCCTCAGTAGGTTGGACTTCTTTGCTAAAAGGAAAGTGATGGGAAAATGCATGGGAAGTGTGGGATAACACTTGCTTTGACACAATGCCTTCTAACCTCCCTGCAAACAAATGTGGATGAATGCTCTAAATAGGTAATCTGGAAGCACCTTTATTTCAGAAGAAGCATGCATGGGATGCTTCTGTAAGAAATCTTGTGATGAAGTTGATTTATAAGATAATGTGAATATAGAATCAGTCAGGGGCAAAGGACTCCCCACAGAGACACCCCTGTCTGGCTCACCTGGACAGATGGAAAGGAGGTGAGAAGCTCATTTCATTTCTTGAGGATCATGCCCTTGATAACCAACAAGATTGCTTCCATCTTGGGACGGAGAGAGAGGGAAAATGACAACATGTATACAGGTACTAATGGTTCTCCCCGCCCCCTTACTGAATGTACGGCATTGACACAAGGGGTGGGAATTAACGTATTCTATAAATCGTTGTACTTCACTTTTTCAAAAAGAGTATCTTTTATAATATTATCTAAACTGCTTTTAAATCCAATAAAGAATATATACGGGGCAGGTATGAGATAAGCATGTAAATGCATTTTAAAAGTGAACACAATTTCTTATTGCTATGACAGTAACACTGTGTGGTTAACCAGTTGTATCTTAATAAGATTATGTAATCATATCAGAATTGTAATTAATAGAATTGTAACAGAAAGATAATGTGTTCAGAATTGCTTAATGAGTTTTGCTCCATCATAATTGGACCTTAATTGGAGCATAATTGTTGAGCCAGCCTGATGACATCGCTCAAGAAATAGCTCCCATTAAGGAGGAATAACTGTTAGACAAATCATTGCTAGCCAATAGCGAAAACAGCAGCTCATGGCTCCAGTATTCCGTCCTGACCACTGCAGTTAGCTCCCTTGGTGCCCAGCGGCGGCACAAAGGTCATAGCACTCCTGTTGGATGGTTCCTATGAGATCCCAGCAGGCAGTCACAAGTTCCTCAAAAGCTGTTTTGAGTAAGTTGTCCTTCCAAAATCTGTGTGTGCTAATACACACACACACACACCCCTTCCGTGTTCAACTGCATTATTCTGACGATAAAATTTCTCACTGTGGCAAAGCAAGCTCCAGCCCTTCTGCAAACTGGGCTATCACTGTAGTGTAGACTATAAACAGACAGTGCTCATACAGTATTGGAGCAGAACATAACTGAATTTTTAAGGTTGCTTCCACATTACCTGCTTATTGAGCAGTTAATAAGATTTCTTGCCGCAGAGGTTCTACAACTCTCCGTTATTCAATTGCCATTCCACACATTCAAGTGCATTTCTACCAGTCCCTCCAGACTTTGGGGTGGGGGGAGCTGTGGGCATGTTCTGCAACATGTCATTCATGCAATAATAGTGCATTAGTAATGGATTTGTACAGGACTGTCCACATATCATTCTCCTTTGAAAGTTGTTTTTCAATGTTTTTCCAGTTTTTCTGCAAAACATTTGCAAGCACAGCCAGTATTGAAAGTGGGAATATTTTAGTATTGAAAGTGGGAATACCACCATGAGCACAATTCATCAGGAACACACCACAGAAAGGACATTTGGTTGGCCACCTCTCAGTTGCCAGACTGGAAAAAAATAATTAAAAAAATGAAATGGGTTTAATGGCACAAACCTACATTTGCCAGTTTTATTGAATCCATCCTGCAAAATAGTGATAGTCTAAAAGCAGCCTATGTTAATATTTCAACAGCACCACTCAAATCTGAAGCTTGAACCTTTAATACAGGGCTGGCTAATCCCAGCGAAGGAGTATGATCCAACTTCCCAAGCAATTTTTTCTGCCTTCCCACTCCAGACTCCACCAATTTTGGTTGTGGCATCAAAAATAAAATTTATATATATGAGCTCTGCAACCCCAGAGTCGTCCGTGACTGGATCTAAAGGTCAGGGGTCCCTTTACCTTACATATATATATATAGAGAGAGAGTAGATAGAGAGTTGAGGTTGGTGGAGCCCAGCATCATGATGGGTTTACAAATTGCCTCCTTCCGATGATCTGCTTGCTCATCTAAGGAGCAGAGAGAGAATTGTGTGCATGCAAGTATGTGTACAAAAATGAGGTGAGGTGGCATGATATGCCACAAGTGAATGTGACCCTCAGGCCAAGAAAGGCCAGCCACTCCTGCTCTACATGCTATTTTGACTCATGGGCCACTGTTGAATGCTCCACACAAGGTTACTAAGATTTTCTGCATGCTCTCAGTATGCTTTCAAACCACCCTCAGCTTGTCTTGTAGCTGTGTGGCACTGATCTAATGATCCCTTGATGCAAGAAACATTCCTTCTTACCAGGTCACGTAACCGTATTGATGAGCTGCCCCGACACTCCAAAGATGGTCTCTGTTTCTGAAATTTCTTTGAAGAATGTTATGCCTTTTAAGACTCATGTCTACAAGAAGACCTCTCATGACAAAGCTGTGAGTACTTAGCACGACGATTGTTTTGGACTGGAAGCAGTGTGTTGTTTCAGTGGTAAGCTTCTGATACAGAAGTGCATCTTTCTAAGAGACAAAAGTACATGTGATGCTGCCTTGCCAAATGCAAGGGCACTTTGGAGATTCAGTGACAATAACCAGAGCCGGTTCACCTATTAGGCAGGGTGAAGCAGCCACCTCAGGTGGCAGAAACACAAAGACGTGGTGCCCCACCAATTTTGTTGCCGCCAGAGAAGCAATCCAGATAAGGGAGGCTTCAATGGCAGCAGAACATTCTGCTGCACAGCATTGCCTTTGGTCTCCCTCCATTGCTAGGGGTGGAGGCAGGCCAGTGGCAAAGCTCTCCATAACACCTCTTTCTCCCCAATACAGCAAGATGGAGGTGTTGCAGACACACTTGTAGAGTTTGACATACCCCCCCCCGCCCTCTGGTAGTAAGGCTTTGCAGAGCCTCATCACGACACCCCATCACTGCGTATGTTTTACCTCAGGAGCCAAAGTGACTTTGGCCAGCCCTGGCAAACAGCAGCACAAATGGAGGGAAGCTCGGTGCTCTTATTAAAGAGACAGCACAAACAAAGCAGTCTTTAAGCAAAACAACACAGCAAGAACCAGATGGTATACTTCTGTTATCAGGAGCTCCAGAGTTTGAGAACAGAGAGAAGCCGGTTGGCCAGTACAAAGCACCCTCTTGATCAGAGCCTACATTGAAGTATATACACCCATCTGAGAGGTGTATATACTCCAGGCCCTTAGTGGCCTCATGCGGCCTGGCCTAATAGCTCAATTCCTCCCACCTGGTAAGCTAGGCCAATATACCGGGTCAGCATAATCAGCCTTCCAGCGCACTGCTACCTGCAGGCCCTCAGCCAGCATCTAGACCACATTCTGCTCTCTCCCATTCTGCTGCTACTTATCCCTGGAGTCCAAACCACAAATCATACCAAGCCCCAAGGTACCAATAAGCAGGGAGGAAGAATTGTACAAACTGATACTTATGTCCTCAAGCTACAAAATGTATTCCATGTAGGTTTCCCCTACAGATGCTAAGCTTGGAGGCACACCAGAGTTGTAAAAAAAAAAAAAAGTAGGCATGGGGGATTTTCATTCAGATTTCATTGGCACTAATGGAGGCTTCCTCATCCCCCTTGTCAGACCAAGACAATCTCTGATACCAAGCCAGTACAGACCAAGCCGTTCTTTAATTTATTCCAAGGAGAACCTACTGGTCATTCCACAACCAACAGATTGTCACTAGGTGAGAGCATGGAAGTAGGCCTTCTTGGTGGAAGCACCCGTCCTCTGAAATGCTCTCCCTCAAGTAATTTGTGGAGATAGTAATGACCCTTACACACACATCTTACAAATCTGTATTTTTAACCATGCTTTGCTGGACACTGATTCTTAATTTTAAATACCGTATTTTTCTGTGTATTGCATGAGGTTTTTTGGCTCAAAAATCACATCAAAAAACTGGGGTCGTCCAATACACAGATAGTGGCATGGGGGGGGGAGAAGCACTGCGCCGCCACCCAGCTCGTTGTGGGGAGTGCAACTTCCCCCGATGCTGCACGCGGCGGGCGCTCCCTGGGTCATTTCCTGCATGCAGCGGCAGCATTGGGAGAGGTTGCCGCGGACGCTTCCTGGGTTGTTTCCCATGCGTGGCGGCATTGGGGGAGGTTGTGCTCTTGGGGGAGCGCAAATTTCCCCGATGCCGCTGCATGCGACGGGTGTTCCCTGGGTCGCTTCCCGCACATGGTGGCATCTGGGGAGGTTGCGCTCCTGGGAGCACAACTTTCCCTGATGCCGCTGCGCAAGGGAAACAATCCAGGGAGTGTTTCCTGCCCACATCTGCGTGGGAGAGGCTCAACAACTTTGGGCCATCTCCCCTCATTTTCCTAAAATTGAGTCCGCAAAAATGGGTGGGGGTCTTATACATGGGTGCGTCCTATAGACAGAAAAATATGGTATTTTGTTTTGTACAATGCATCCGGACACTCTACTTCTATTACATTTCTGAGTCCTGATGCATCAAGAGGTTTGTGTAGTCTTGTCTGCCCTGAAGGTGCACTTTTTGCTTGGCATTGGTTTACAACAGAATCACATCCGTAAGTTGAGCTATGAAGCGGCCTTGTCCAATCATGAGTTTCCCTGTCTTCCAGGTTACGATCTACATAGGCAAGCGAGATTTCATTGACCATGTAGATGAGGTGGAACCTGTGGGTAAGCCCAGCGTGATTTTAAGTTTTTATTTTTAAATTTTTTTACACTTCTTTTTACAAAGCTTGAGTATTCAGTGTCCCAGAATGGCTCCTTTCTGTGTTTTCTCCATACAGATGGTGTGGTGTTGGTTGATCCTGATATTGTAAAGGATAAAAAAGGTCAGATGACTTAATTGGTGTTTTAGAGATTTAAGTATTAATATCCAGCTTTAAAGTTAAAATGTATCTATATTTACACAAATAAACTCCACTCAGGAAAAAGAAGGCCCCTGTTGGTTACCAAGCGTGTTTTCAGAGGTGTATAAGAGTTGTGTCATTGGACCAGATATATAATTCCTCTAGTCCCAAATGTTAGTATAACCACAGTAATTGGTGCCAAATGCATTCACATGTCCATTTTATACAATCTTCTGTTTGCTCCTAGATGCATGATGACAGAATCTTTATTAAAATCAGGCTTGAAAGAAGCATTGTATTGCAGCCAGTATAACAGATTGCAAATTGTTCCTGGCTGCAGCATGTGTGTGTTGTGCCCACGATACCTTAGCTGGTTTGCAAATGTGCCCACTGGCCTAAAAGGCTTAGTGACCCCAGCACCTTGCACTCCCCAAGAGAGCAGTGGAAAACCACAGCCACCAAATGAACCCAGCTTCTTCTGACTGTCTTTTGCTAGCTGAGACAGACATAAAGCAAGCATGTTTAACCTTGAGCTTTGTCCCAGGCCCTCAGCTTGCAGGTGCCCACTCTCAGACCTTTAAGCACAGACTTTCCAGATGATACCCCTAGTTGGTTTAGCACAGTGTTTGTAACATTCGTTGTGTCTTCTTCCTAGTGTATGTGGCACTCACTTGTGCTTTTCGGTATGGGCAAGAAGATATTGATATAATGGGCCTGACTTTCCGGAAGGACCTCTATTTTTGCATGGTACAGGTATACCCATCGCTAGAAAAACAGAGACCGCTCTCCAGCTTGCAGGAATGCTTACTGAATAAACTGGGTAAAAACGCACATCCTTTTGTGTTAACAGTAAGTATTCTGTGGGGCTGCTCTCAGTTCTGTGACTTGACAATTTGATAGGAAAGTGGTTAGCAATAATAAATTTTTTGAAATGATTGATTTAGCAAAATTGACAGCAACAATTAGAATGCAATCTAATCAAAATCTCAAACAGGAATGGAAATGTGTAGAAGAAATACATGACCAAAAGATGCTCCAACAAGAATTTATTGATATGTATAGACTGATTTCACAAAGTTAAGTTAAATTAAGCTAAGCAGATATATAAGATTGAATGTTTAATTAATTAAGATACAAAATTACAACCTCGATAATAAAGTTACAAAATAATAACAAGGAAGTCACGCACGGGTGGAGGGAAGAAATAAGAAATGGATAAATGTTGGCACATAATGAAATGTGAAAATATGAATTTACGAATATAATGTATATGTATCAATATGTAAAGATTTCATATATGTATTGCAACATTAATAATAAATAAATTGAGTGTGGGGGGGAGGAAAGTGGTTAGAAAGTGGCTTTACAGCATATTTTCACTTTAGGTGTCTTCATACATTCATCCCTGCGCCCGCCCGCCCCCCCCCCCATATCAACTCTTCACTTGATATCTAGCAGCAGAATACACGAGGTGGGCAGAATACAGGAGGTGGTTTGAGTAAGGTTTGACCTTCGGCTGGGTCTCTCGTATTACCTAAGGCAGTGTGCTTTGTAGCACCTTAAGAATGTAAGAAGATCCCTGCAGGATCAGGCCAAAGGCCCATCTAGTCCAGCATCCTGTTCTAGTAATGGCCTACCAGGTGCCCACTGGAAGCCTGAAAGCAAGACCTGAGCGCAAAAGCACTTTTCCCCCTGCTGCTTCTGACAGTGGAGAATGTGGCTTTCCCTCAAGAACTAAACTTCTGTAGCAGCTAAACTAACTGTAGCATGCAGTTGAATGACCTGTGTCCAGTGTCTTTTGTCTTCTCACCCTTACAGTTTCCAGACTATCTACCTTGCTCAGTATGCTTGCAGCATCCCAAGGATGTCGAGAAGGTGAGAACTGTGGGAACAGGATTGTATATATTTACTAAGAAAGTAAAATCCAAGAATTAGCATCTGCTCCCATGTTTTCTCACTGCTGATGAGGTGACATGATGCTCCCTAGTGGAAGTTTGTTACAGGGGAACTGTTTTCCAAGTGGATGCTGGACGCAGCTGGTCCCACAGAATTAGACACAAATAGCAAGGACATTAATGTTTGCCACACTCTCTTAACAAAAAATATCAGACAATACTGGAAAGGAACATGTAGTGTGAAAGTTTGTGTATGGTAATAGATAATATTGTAGGTCTCCCTAGGAAAGTGTAGCTAAGCAAGGGCCTTTTCCCTGTGTTTGGTCTGCTTCTCACCTTTCCAGGCCCAGCAAAACAATCTCATGTGAAGGTACTCTGTGATGTGCTCAGGTGGACTACAAGTTTATAAAAACCAAGTGAGCACACCCATTTTTAAATACATCCTATCTCCTTCCAGTTAAGGCCCAATGGTATGTCTCCTGCTTTAGGCAGAAATGGTGTTGGGATTTCTCAGTGAATGCGCACCTGTATTGAAAAAGTCTGTGCATATGACCCATAGCAGATGCATAGGAAGCTTTTCTTCCTGTGCAAATTGAAAGAGTGGGGCCCCTGACATGGACTGGGGCCACACTGGGGTGCAGAGAGTTAAAGCACCCTACCCCTACCACCACCACCACTAGGGCTGCCATATGTCCGGACATTACAGGGATTCCCACAATGGCAATTTGGCTGTTGGTTTGTTTAACTGCACTTAAAAGCACAGCTACATAGCTAATGTAACACATAGTTTGACTCTTAAATTGGCTATTGGATGGGTTCTTTTACATACTGATGCTTAAGATACTCAAACCCAACAGCAGTAACCTGTCACCCCATCTTTCCTTGCAGTGCTGCGGGGTGGATTTTGAGGTCAAAGCATTCTCGACAGAAAATGTGGAAGAGAAGGTTCTCAAGAGGTAACATATTGTTGGACAGATGTTGGATGGAAAATGGGGGAAATGGGGCAGTTGAATAAGGAGCTATATTTAATTAACAGCCTGCTCTGAACCTCTGGGTAGGGGGAGAAGAGGAACTGTTACTTACTTTGTGTACCACCACTGGTGGAGGAAGAGGAGCGCAGGGGGAGTTCACCAACCCCAGCAGCGCGATCCCAGTGGGGTGCCAACGTGGCTGCCTCCCCCTGCCAGCGCTGGGTGCCATGCCCCCTCAGATGGCATGCCACGACCCTGTGGGCGGTGCATCATGCCCCGGGACATGTGCCAGCCCTGCCCCCACCTGCTCTCCGCCCCCTGGTGCCAGAGCATGAAGCTCCGCCACTGTGTACCACTCCCTGCACCCTAATGCTGCTTTACCAAGGATGACTTGTAATGGCAGTAAAGACCTTCTGTCACTGCCCTTGGTGCTACCTCTTTCATCCCTATTTCACAGCTTGGCACTACTGCTCCCACAACTGCTCGCGACCGCCAGCAGTTCAGCACAGAAACAAACCTGTTCCCCCCCCCCCCCCTTAGGAACTCCGCACGCCTGCTGATCCGCAAAGTCCAGTATGCTCCAGAAGTGCCAGGACCCCAGCCTCATGCAGAGACCAGCTGGCATTTTTTCCTGTCAAAGAAACCATTGCACCTGAAGGCATGCCTCAGCAAAGAGGTGAGCTGGTTTTGCATTTGGAAATTAATGTTCTGGCTTTTTAAAAGTGTGCATTTTACATCTCTGAGTTATTTGATCTCCTATTTAAGAGACCACCGCTCAAGGGCTTTGAGACTATTTGCAACAACAGTTCTTCTTGGGAGAAACTGGGGACAGATCTACAGCATACATTTAAAGGACATCCAGTGCACATTTAAAGCACATGACTTCCCCTAAAGACTCCTGGGAACTGCAGTTTAAGGGTGCTGATCATTGTAGTTCTGTGGGGAGAAATTACATTTCCCTGGACTCTTTGAGGGGGAAAACCACGTGCTTTAAACATTCATGGGATATTCTTTAAATGTTTGGTATGGATCAGCCCTTGAATGTCTAGTGTATTAAAGCCTTCTGCTGACTCTCAGGAGATATAAACAAGGCCCAAGGCCTTCCTACAGAGGTTGACCATGCAAATGCATAGAAGATGAAAGATGTCTTATGTAGACCAGATGAACCCTTCTGCTAAGTCAGTCCAATTGTTCCAGGTCTTTTACCATGGTGAGGCAATCCCTGTTACGGTGACTGTGATCAACAATTCTGATAAGGTGGTTAAGAAGATCAGTGTGTCAGGTAAAATGCTATTTTTCCCCATAATGCCATGAGATGTTTGTTATCAGGGAATAGCAGGGTAGAAGGATTGAGCATCCATGATTATTTATGCCCACAATGCTATCGAGGGAGTCACACATAATTTAAATATGGTTTGCACCTGCAACACTTGGGGGTTGTCACACTGCTCCATTTCCAATCAGTGTATATCCCATAACTTCCTCCTGATATCCTGTAACTTTTTATGCCGCAGATGTTCTGGTTTATTTTTGTCCTGCTTTTGTTGCACTACAGCCCCACTGGACAGCCCTAGGGAAGCATCACTAAACAAACTAAAGCAGAATCAATCCACCACTAATGCACTATTACAGTATCGTGTCAAGAATATGAGGCAGAATACACCTGCAACAAATCAGCAATCTAGAGGGGTCCATAATATAATAACAGGCAGTGATGGTGGGGTTGGGATAACCCAGCACTTTCAGTGTGAAAGGATCTCCGCTTAGTTTTGCAAGAACTGCTATTGTTATTGCCTTGGAAGCATGTTTCCCTGCACTCTGCCAAAGCAAAATTACTACCAGTCCATAATTTTGTATATGATGCCACAAACAAGAGAGTAGAGGGGAAACAGAGGCATAAAGAGAAGCGAATGCTCAGAAGGATTATGGGAAATAGGCTAGACCCTCTTGGTTTTCCAGTTGTTAATTTCCCATCTCGTTCCCTCCTCAGTGGAACAAGTTGCCAATGTGGTCCTGTACTCCAGTGATTTCTACACCAAGACAGTAGCTCTGGAAGAGGCAGAGTGAGTGCATCCTAAGTTGCTCTGCCAGCTTCCCCTTCTGTTCCATTCCCTTTAGCTGCCTACCTCACTAGAAGATAGAAATTCACACCTATACATTGTGTTGCTTCCTGATTTCTCTCTGGCAGAGGTCTAAGTTTGCATCTTTCTGCTAAGAGGTATATCCCCCTCCCTCCCTTCTTCATCTGTGGTCTCATGTTTTGTGCCCCCTCACCTGGATCCTACTGAAGTTGGAAGGTTGAATTTTGGCCAGCTATTTTTCTGTTCCAGAATTAAACTTGTATTCTGTTTAATCCCCTGCAATGTGCATTCCAGGGAAAAGGTACAGCCCAACTGCATCGTCTCAAAGACTATAACAGTTCTGCCTTTGCTGTCAAACAATCGAGTAAAACTAGGCATAGCCCTGGATGGGAAGCTAAAAGATGAAGACACCAACTTGGCTTCTAGTACCATGTGAGTTGAATATGTATAGACATATAACCCATTTGCAGCAGAAAACTGTAGGTTTCCCCCCTCAGTCTGGATTCATTCATGCTCATCCTCAAGATGCTGCTTTCCATCTAGATTAATTCTAGATCCTGAGTATGCTACCTTGATATGCATTTGAAAATCCTCCCCTTCCTTAAGTTACCCACACCTTTTCCTCCCTGCACATGCCCCAAATGAAGGAAGAAGGACTTGATGATTACGATCTTGGCATATCACTTGGAGAACCAGTGCGGTGTAGTGGTTAAGAGCGGTAGACTCGTAATCTGGGGAACCGGGTTCGCGTCTCCGCTCCTCCACATGCAGCTGCTGGGTGACCTTGGGCTAGTCACACTTCTCTGAAGTCTCAGCCCCACTCACCTCACAGAGTGTTTGTTGTGGGGGAGGAAGGGAAAGGAGAATGTTAGCCGCTTTGAGACTCCATCGGGTAGTGATAAAGCGGGAGATGAAATCCAAACTCTTCTTCATATGACCACAACGTCATTGGGTACCGTCATTGGTACAGACTACTGTACATCCATTTTCAAATGGACACACAGCAGGGTAATGCAGAATAAATTTATATTTTCAAAATGAAGCCAGTTTCCTCAGAAGTACTTTTCATGGTCAAAAAATTAGATCTAAATTGTTTGTGGACTACATACAAAAAAAAATTACTCAATCCCCACTGATTCTGGAATAAAATGTTGCATGTATACAGCCTGTGGAATATGAAAATAGGATATATTCTATTGCTGTGTTAAGCAAGAAATGTAAGTGCAGAAGCTGCCTGTATGCTTAGTTGAATTCACCCTAGGATTCATCTTGCCTTGGAACCTTCTCAATTAGTGTAACAGCCCTGGGAGGATCCTCCTTCCTGTTGGACAGTAAGTTGCTTCAATTGCATGTCATAATCCTACTCTTTTTATCCCCAATAGTATTAAAGATGGGCTAGACAAGACAGTTCTGGGGATCCTGGTTGCTTACAAGATAAAGGTGAAGCTCACTGTCTCAGGGTAAGAGAGGTTTTGAGTATCCTGTAGTTAAAAGTTTTTAGATTCAGGTAGGTAGCCGTGTTGGTCTGACGCAGTCAAAATATATATAAAAAAATAAAAAATTGCCCAGTAGCACCTTAGAAACCACCTAAGTTTGTTCTTGGTATAAGTTTTCGTGTGCAGGTATCTGAAGAAGTGTGCATGCACACGAAAGCTTATACCAAGAACAAACTTAGTTGGTCTCTAAGGTGCTACTAAGGGATGCGGGTGGTGCTGTGGGTTAAACCACAGAGCCTAGGGCTTGCCGATCAGAAGATCAGCAGTTCGAATCCCTGCAACGGGGTGAGCTCCCATTGCTCAGTCCCTGCTCCTCCCAACCTAGCAGTTCGAAAGCACGTCAAAGTGCAAGTAGATAACTAGGTACTGCTCCAGTGGGAAGGTAAACGGCGTTTCCGTGCGCTGCTCTGGTTCGCCAGAAGTGGCTTAGTCATGCTGGCCACATGACCTGGAAGCTGTACACCGGCTCCCTAGGCCAATAAAGCGAGATGAGCGCCCACAACCCCAGAGTCGGCCACGACTGGACCTAATGGTCAGGGGTCCCTTTACATTTACCTTTAAGGTGCTACTGGACAATTTTTTTATTTTTTATATATTAAAAGTTTTTGCAATAGGTGCTTTTGTTTTGTTAGAGTAAGATGAGTCATGGCAACAAAACGAGGATGCGGCATCCTCATTACTTTAGATTATACAGTGGTACCTTCGTTTACAACCATAATTCGTTCCAGAGGTCTGGTTGTAAACCAAAACAGGTTGTAACCTAAGGAGCTCTTTTGCCAATGGGGCCTCCCCCCCAAAATTGGTTGTAATCCAAAAAAAGGGGCACACACCTCTGGGTTTGACGTAGTTGTAATCCAAAACGGTTGTAATCCAAAGCGGTTGCAAACCAAGGTACCACTGTATAGCCAATTCTAACACATTGGTTCCATGCTTAATAAATTAGCTATCTTGTAAAATGGTGAATATTTGTATGAATGTTCTTCATTAAAAGTAAGTAGATGCTGCCAAGCCAAATGAAGAAGGAATACTTGAATGATGTGGAACGGGATAATGCATTGCAAGCATGGATAATTCTGAGCTACATTCTGTATGAAGAGGATATGAAATATGTCTGACTTTGCTGTGGAATTTTGTAAGCTTTGATTGTTTTTATTTTATTTGATTATATCTTAGCCTGCTGGGAGATTTCATTTCCAGGTAAATCTGTAAGATTTTCTCTGTCCCCCCCCCCCCATTGCTCTTGCAACATTTGATTATATTGCTAGGCTTATCTGAAAATGGATCTTCTCTTTTTACTCTTATTATACATTATACCTTTTAAAGCACATTCTTAGCTGCCGCCACCCCCGAGAATTCTGGGCACTATAGTTTGTTTAAGGGTTGCTAGGAATTGTAACTCTGTGAGAGTTAGACAACAGTGCCCAGAATTCTTTAAGGGAAAGAATGCACTTCGAATGTGCTTTAAGAATGTGTTTTAAGAATGTGTGTTCACAGTCTTAGCTTAATAACTATGAGCTTCCACCACGGACTAGGCCCAATATTCTGTGTATGAGGTATGTTTACTCACAGAGGAGTGAACACTAATACTTCTACAATATACCTTTTCTCTGAATTCCCATCCTTTGTTCACTTCCTTTTATTGAGCATCCAGATTATTGAGCATCCAGATCATTGACTTCCAGTGTTGTTAGGCGAGTTTCTTTAGTGTGTTCGCCTTTCATGCCCTCCTCAACAGGACACGATTTTCTGGTGGGAGTTTCTTGGGTAATAAACGAAAACTGCAGTGCCAGCCCCTTCAGTGGTTACAGACAGTGTGGAAAAGTGAAAGTGACAGTCAAGGTGGAACATTTCAAATTGCCTACTGTATAAGAAATTGCCAATAAACTAGCATGAGCAGAGTTATTCGCAGTCCTTCATGCTAGTAGTGGCTTTCGTCAAATTTAGCTAGATTATAAGCATTCTCGTTTGTTAACCCATTGTCAGCACTTGCGTAGTAACTGTAACCAGGCACTGGTCATTGTATTTGTATTCTATCATTATCTACTCACTTAATACATTTATATCTTACTTTTCTATAGTAAAATTCACATTGCTTTCAAATAAAAATATAAACTACATCAACAATTAATAGCAAAAGAATGCAGCAGGAGGAAAGCAATCATAATAAAAAAGTGTTAGCAACAATCACCTTGGGAACAATTTGATTGAAAGCTGGGGTAGAAATAGACCATATGCACGATGGACTCTTATGCCTTTACAAGAAACACTTTGCTGATTTTCCAAATGATTTTCCAAATACTTGCGGAAGATTATAGCTATAGGGTAGCATTCAACTAAGCCAGGCATAGGCAAACTCGGCCCTCCATATGTTTTTGGGACTACAACTCCCATCATCCCTGACCACTGGTCCTGTTAGCTAGGGATGATGGGAGTTGTAGTTCCAAAACATCTGGCGGGCCGAGTTTGCCTATGCCTGAACTAAGCTTTATTCAGAGCAGGCCCACTGGAATTAATGGACCTAACTTAGTCATGTTCATTAATTTCAGCAGGACTACTCTTGAGTTAAATAGCCCCCATAGATTTAGATCTGGATAATGACTGGATAAAGGGACGCGGATGGCGCTGTGGTCTAAACCACAGAGCCTAGGGCTTGCTGATCAGAAGGTCAGCAGTTCGAATCCCCGCAACGGGGTGAGCTCCCGTTGCTCGGTCCCTGCTCCTGCCAACCTAGCAGTTCGAAAGCACGTCAAAGTGCAAGTAGATAAATACCATAGTTTTCGCCCTATAGGACGCACCAGCCCATAGGACGCACCTAGTTTTTTGGGGGGGAAATAAAGAAACAAAATTTTATCCCCCCCCCAGCCGCAGCTTCAGCGCGCCCTGCGCTCCAGGCAGCAGGCTGCTATCCGCAGCCTAGGGAGCCCTGCAGGAACTCCTGCAGGGCTCCCCAGGCTGTGGATGTCTGCCCGGCACACGGGGCGCTCTGTTTCAGGGCGCCCCACGCGCCGGGCGGCAGGCTGCTAACCGCAGCCTAGGGAGCCCTGCGGGAACTCCCTCAGGGCTCCCTAGGCTGCGGATATCTGCCTGAAGCGCGGGGCGCTCTGCTTCAGCGCGCCCCGCACTCCGTGCAGCAGGCTGCTATCCGCAGCCTAGGGAGCCCTGCAGGAACTCCTGCAGGGCTCCCCAGGCTGTGGATGTCTGCCCGGCACACGGGGCGCTCTGTTTCAGGGCGCCCCACGCGCCGGGCGGCAGGCTGCTATCCGCAGCCTAGGGGGCCCTGCGGGAACTCCCGCGGGCTCCCCAGGCTTGCTGATAGCTTCCTGAAGCCTGGAGAGCGAGAGGGGTCGGTGCGCACCGACCCCTCTCACTCTCCAAGCTTCAGCGAAAGCCTGCATTCGCCCCATAGGACGCACACAGATTTCCCCTTCATTTTTGGAGGGGGAAAAGTGCGTCCTATAGGGCGAAAAATATGGTAGGTACCGCTCCGGCGGGAAGGTAAATGGCATTTCTGTGCGCTTCTCTGGTTTCGACAGAAGCGGCTTAGGGGTCCCTTTACCTTTACCTTTAATGACTGAATAAACCAAATAGTGTGGGGAACTGCTAAGGTTGTTTGGTGCCATGTAGGTATCATCCTACTTTCTTTCCTCTCTCCACACAGTGAGGTAGCCATGGAACTGCCCTTCCGTCTGATGCACCCCAAGCGAGAGGAGGAAAACACAACAGGTCAGTAGGATATCATTGCCCTTGCTTGGGGCATTGTTTATAATATTCTGATGATACCCTTAAGTCTTTTTGAAAAGCTAGAAGATTATTCTTCCATTGAAATGGTAATCAGCTCTAAGGGAGATTTTAATTACAGGGAGGGGTGTTTTCAGATGGAGTAGAAGGAGGGATGCTGTTAGATGGTTCTCCTTTCATATTTTCCAGCAAAAGTTCTTGTGCTCTTGAAGCACAATCCTATGCATGTCTCTGCAAAAGTCCCATTGAGTTCAGTGGGGCTTGCTCTACCCTGAAATCTTTTGTGTATGTGTGCTCTCACATTTATGCTTGCAATAACTTTATTATTAAGAAAACATCAGGTGTAGGGAACCTTTGACGCTCCAGATGTTGTTGGACTCCAACTGCCATTAGCCACAGCTAATGATCAAAGATATGAGAGGCATAGTTCAGCAGCACTTGGAGAACCAACAATTGTCTAGCTCTGCTCTAATTGCATCGTAGAGCTGGTGGAATTCAAACTTCAATCAATCAATTTGGAATCCAGTCATATGAGCAATCCTAGCTTGTTTCATGTTTCCTCTAGAATTACTATTACTAATTACTAATATTTTGGCTGGGGTGATTAAGGTATTGCCCAAATATGGTTTCTGAATTTTTGTTGATGGTAAGGAATATTTTGGTGCAATGAGTGCAGCTGGACAAACTTTGAGACCACTACACACTACACCAGTGTGGTGTGGTGTGGTGGTTAAGAGCAATAGACTCGTAATCAGGGGAACCGGGTTTGCGTCTCCGCTCCTCCACATGCAGCTGCTGGGTGACCTTGGGCTAGTCACACTTCTGTGAAGTCTCTCAACCCCACTCACCTCACAGAGTGTTTGTTGTGGGGGAGGAAGAGAAAGGAGAATGTTAGCCGCTTTGAGACTCCTTCGGGTAGTGATAAAGCGGGATATCAAATCCAAACTCTTCTTCTTCTTCATGATCGCCATAAATTTGTGGTTCAATGAAAATCCATTGAAGAGAATGAAACTTCCTCTGGCTAAAAGTTTGCTTATTCTTAGGACTTTCTTTCTTTCTCTCTCTCTCTCTCCTCCTTTCACCTCAGTGCACATAGAGGCACAGATTGTTATCTCTCCTTTCCAAGCTTTATGCATGGCCCGAGGAGCCTGGGTCACTGACTTATTGTCAGGTCACACACCTGTTGCATAGTTGTACCTGCAGGGCACTGTAACTTATATTTTCCCCTTCAAATGGACTTTACAATATTTGCCAACTACTTTAAGGAATCAGAATCAAGAAAACATATTTAGTTAAGCCTTTCTCCCGCTTTTCTTTTCAATGTGCACCAATGACTACAGGAAAAGAAAAGTAAGTATTGTTTCATTATATTTCTAGCCAACTCTGCCTTGAAATCCTTATTCCTTCATGAGCAATGACTTTGTTCATAAACAAACTTTATTAAAGTTGCATCATGAGGACAGTGGAAATTGATTCTGTTTCTCAGCTGGATTCAGCTCAGAGCTTTCTGCATTCTAAGGCATACAAACACTGAGAAGCTACAGCTGTGTGATATAGCAGAGTGAAGTATCCATGCCATGGCCTCCCGCCAAGCAGGCATCGGACAGAATACACGACCGCCAGATTCCTTTAACGGAATACCCCTAAAAATTGAAGGCATAGGCGATGGCCACACCTAGCACTTCAACACACCACAACACATTATTCCAATGCCTAACCTACCCACCAATACCACGAAAAGGTGTGACGATTGCTACGAGGTAGGCGAAAAAACCAAAAAGCCTAATGCCAAATGGAAAAACTCCTACCAGGCCCCCCGGGCAACCAGGGCAGGAATGAGGCCAGGAAGAGGCTGGCGCTGCAGCAAAAGGCTGCTGAACACGCCCCCTCCGTGGCACCTGGTTGGGTGGCCACCGGGGGGGGGGCGTAAGCGCCAGCCAGGTGAGCTGGAGGCAGGGGGCAACGCCCCCTGCTGGGCGGTGCTCGGGCTCCTGCCCACAACCACTCCCCTCTCTTTCAGGGAGGAGAGTCTTTGTGAGGAAATGATGCAGCAACCTTACTGAAGCTGAGCCAAGAATGTGAAACCTTTTCACACAGGGCAATTGGGGGACATGTTTAAGCTTTGATGTGGGCATTCTTATGTCTGCTGCTGAATGGTTGCATGGTTTAATCATTTTGTTTTATTATTTATGCTACATACTACATATAGTGGCAAGTGCTGTTTGATTTGATTCTGCTATTAGTGCTCTGCCCTGGGATCTTATTGGATGAAGGGCAGTCTTAAAAATCTAAATAAATGAATACTGCAAGAGATGCTAAAATGCATTTTTGTGTTGTGTGAAAATGATGTAAAGTGTAAACTGACTGTGTGCTAGTCTAAAAGTTCCAAAGAAAAATAGAGCTTCACAATGCAGAGGTATCCAAATACTAAGAAGAATGCAATTTTGAAAGCAGACTTTATCTTTTCTTAGTGACCTCATGTTTGAAGAGTTCTCTCGCCAGCAGCTGAAAGATGAGGATGAGAAGGCGGAATCACTAAATGATGAATGACAGAAAAAGGAGGCTGAGCCAGCTATGGAAGCCACACAATTTGTGTCTAATGGCAAACACAGAGGGAAGTAATTCTATTAAACAGCAGGAGAGTTTTCTTTTTTATGTCAGTTAACACTGGTCTTCCCTCCCTTTTTTAGAATAAAGAAACGGAATATTTAAGATGATTGTGGTGGTGGTTTTTATTTAAATCAGTTGCCTCACTATAAACATCTAGTTGCAGCAAGAGTGAATCCAGTATTATTTGTTTAGAAAATAAAAAACTGCTTAGCATAACAAACCCATGTCCCTGAATTAAATGGAAGGCTGGGGGGTGCTACTTTGTTTGCTTGAACTTTAACAAAGGAACAAACTGAAACCATTCACCCTTCAAGAAAGAACTTCAAAGTGCTTCATCTATTACATTTTGTATGTGTTCATATAAAAATATTAAATATGTTGGAGGCAATAAGCATGTGCTTGTATTGATCATCTGCATTACATCTGTCGGTGTGTGTGAGGGAGCAACAATTGACCACAGCACCTTGCTTTATGTACATATAGTGGCAAATATAGGTTTGCTGCCATTTAACTTGTAATGCAACCATTCTGGGCCTAGTTCCCAGCCATCTCTTATGAGGTAGAGGTATGGAGTATTTTACTGTGTGTAAAATGCAAGAATCTGGAATTATCTATGTGCTGGTGAATGAGGGCAAGACTGTATTCAGTGCCTTACAAGCCTAATCTATAAAATCCAGTAAAACAGATTATATGTGTGCATGCACTGTTTTTTTAATAGCACATAAATGGAGTGAAAATAATCTTTGTAAACACAACAACACAGCATGTCAGTTTTTGTATCTGATCTGTTTGTACTATAAATATGCTGGTCTCCCTAGCTGAGAACCTCCATTTTAGCAGTGGTTTCAAGGGAAATGCTGTGGTTTCAACATATGATGTCAGGTGTGGAGTGGATGTGCACGGTTTGGGGAAAGTGGCATTGCAAGCCAAATTGGGACAACTGATAAGCCCTAGCAGATGCCACCATTTTCCCTTTTTATGTTTGGAGGGAAGGTGAGCAGGTTAATGTACACTAGGAAGCTGCTATAGTTTACACTATAAACATCTGTCATGGATGCTTTAGTTGAGATTCCTGCATTGTGGGGGGTTGGACTAGATTACCCTTGGGACCCTTCCAACCCCTGGTTCCCAACATGGGGCACACACCTCACAGGGGGGCAATTAGATTTTTAAGGGGGGCAATTTAAGAATGAGTTATTAACAGTTAATGGCCTTTTAGGCTTCCTCCATGTGAATAGGAGTTCTCTTTTTGAATAATAAGGATTATATGTCACCGGGGGGGGGGGGAGAATCAGGATTTTAGAGATGCTTAGGTGGGGCATGGGCAAAAAAAGGTTGGGAACCACTGCTTCCAACTCTTCAATTCTATGATTCAGGTTTAAGTCTCCGATTCAGAAGTTGTGGTATTCATGGTGTGAACCATACAATGCCTGTTGTGTCAAGTGCCCTTTCATGCTGTTTGATGAATGCCATGTACTTTGTGAAAGTCCTACACAGAAGGCACTTCTTACATGCAGCATATGTAATAGCTGCATACACTGCAAAATAAACATGTATTGGTTGTTGGATGTAATAATCTACAAGCAGGTTGCCTGCTTTTTTCGGTTTTATGTGCTAAAAGATTATGACTTGCAAGTTGAGCGTATGAACACAGGGTACAGTGCCATGTCTTCATGTACAGTGGTACCTCAGGTTACATACGCTTCAGGTTACATACGCTTCAGGTTATAGACTCCACTAACCCAGAAATAGTGCTTCAGGTTAAGAACTTTGCTTCAGGATAAGAACAGAAATCGAGCTCCGGCGGCGCGGCGGCAGCAGAAGGCCCCATTAGCTAAAGTGGTGCTTCAGGTCAAGAACAGTTTCAGGTTAAGTATGGACCTCTGGAACGAATTAAGTACTTAACCCGAGGTACCACTGTATCTATTTTACAGAGGAGTTATTGTAACTATGTGTGTACAAGGCAGTGGGACAATGGAGGTGGCCAAACCAAAATGGTATGGTATATTTATGAGGTGGCAGATTAAAGGTACAATAACTTCATTTTTAATGCTCCCTTCTGTTCGAAACAAAATGCTGCTGATAGCAAAAGAAAAGAAAACCCAGTCCGTTTTATCCCCTTTCCCCTCATGCGCTAGGTCTTCTTTAATGTATATTTATTTTTAATATGAACTGAGTTGTAAAGGCGAGCATGGTTTATCACGGGGAGAGATTTTAAGCCAGGGTGAAGTAAATAAATGGGGCGGGGCTTTATCCCCTGAGTCCTCCTAGGCCAGATTCAGATCGATGTGCTGCGACGTTCACTGAGGACACGACAATATTTTAACATGGTCAGCAACCCCTCAATACACCCGCCCTGCAAAAGATGGGCGAGTAAGGCGTCCGTTTGCGCGCGCGCGTGGGGGCGCATTCTTAATTCCCCGCGTGCCAACTAACAGCCCGCCCGAGAGGCTGCATCCCTTTTCCTTTCCCCCTATTCGCTTCAACCCGCTTTAGGGGCCTGAGGACGTCGCCTCAGGACCAGTGCAGAACCGACCCGCCAGAGGGCGGCCACGTCCGCTGCGGACGCCTCTCCGCTCCCCACAGCGAGCTCCCCGCCCGCCCGCGCTCCCTCCTCCCTGGCTGCCGGCTTGCACCGCGGCGCTTGCGGCGCTAGGTGGTGCTGCCCGCCCTGCTCCTCACGGTGCAGCATGGCGGCGGCGGGCGCCTCGCAGCCCCAGGCCGGGGCCACCGCCGCTGCCCCTCCGGTGGCGACTGAGGAGTCGTCGGACAGCGAGCCGGAGCAAGAGCCCGGCTCCCCGCAAAAACTCATCCGCAAGGTCTCCACGTCCGGGCAGATCCGCCAGAAGGTGAGCGCTGTAAGGGTCGGGCCTTCAGGGGAGAGGAGGAGGAGGAGGTGGTGGTTATGCGCTTCCCCCTCCCCTCAGCCTTCTTCCCATCCTCCATTTCATTCCCACTCTCTCCTCCCCAGACCAGCCCCGGGTAAACGGCGCTGCCGTGCAGGGCCTGGGCTCTCCAGCAGCCCTTCAGCGCGTTCCCCTAACTCGGCCCTCTCGTCAGCAGCAGGGGTGGCACTTCCATCGCCCTTTGCCCTTCCCCTCATGGTCTATGCCAACCCCCCCTCCCAATGGCTACTGCGCTTTGCAGGTTTTATTAGAGCCTTCGGCAAAAAAAAAAAAAAATATGCCCGTGGTGGTGGTGGTGGTGGGGAACCCCTCATCCACCACTTGCATCCTCCCATCTATCCCAATTGCTGGGTCTTCCAATGAGGGAGGGCGAGAGGGCACACAGGTGAGCAAGGGCCAAGGCAGCAGCTGGTCCTTGCGCTGCCCTGGCATTTTGTCCACCTGAGTGAGCAAGGTGCGAAGTTGGGGCTGGGGGAGAAGATGCTTCTGCTCATTCTCCCGAGCGAGCGTACCCTTCTTGAGTGGCGCAGGGGTTGGCAGCGTGCTTTGCGACACCCAGAAGGAGGGAGCCAATAGAGGTGGGTGGCTCTGTGCAGCCACCCCAACCTTCGCTCAGTGTGCTTGACTGCGCTTGCTCTCTGGGTAATGCAGTGGTTGGGATTGGGGCCCAGGGTAGTTATGTATCTATGTATTTCGTTTACGAATGGCTTCCCGCGGAGGCGGTTTCACCACACAATAAAAAACCATATACAAAACAGCTGCATATATAAAATATAGTATAGGCCCAGCCCTTGCTGTCACACTGAATTGAGGGAGAAGGCAGAGGAGTGAGTGAAGGCAACTGTCGCTGCAAGGAGTCATCATCTCAGCTTTCTTACCTGAGCATGCTGTCTCTCACTCTCTTTCTCAGTGGGTTGTGTGGTGGGCTCAGCTCTAGCCACCCAGAGTGTAAGTAAGCCATTTACCTGCACGCTATCTTTCTCTCTCTGATGTGGCAGTGATACCCCAAATATATTGCCCAGAAGGGCTACTAAGTAAGCAGGTGAGAGGTGACAAGGCACTGTCTCTTTCTCCTTCACTCTCCTTATCTAGGTGGTAAGTTAAGAAGCTGCCATGTCACCCAAAGCTCGTGCATCCAACTTTGGTGCAGCCCATATGCAAAGTGTAAGCAACTAAGTGGAGTTGGTGGCCGTCTCTGCTTTCTTGCCCTCCACTGGGCAGAGGAGGACTTTAAGAAAGAGTAGAAACAGTGATCAAGGGGAGGCACAATCTTTCTCTGGGCAACATGGTGGTTGTGATTAGGCCTTACAGAGGTATCACTTGGATAGGTGAGCAACTACTGACATTGGTAAGGAGCAATGGTCTCATCTCACCTGGCTGTAAAAGGGCAGGTAACTTGAGTTATGTGGAGGTGAGAAGTTATGGTAAGCAGTCATTCCAGAGAGAGAGGGTGGGGGTCTTTGCTGGCAGATAATGAGAAGTGAGTGCTCCTTTCAGGTGGCAGCAACTAATGCGACCTCCATTGTATGCTCACCTAGCATACAATGGATACCTAGCATTCATCCAGCCTAGTAAACAAGCAAGCTTTGTTCCCTGGTAACTGAGAAGGAAGGAAATGGCAGGGGCTCAGGAGGAATGAAGGAGGGGTGTCACCTCACTCTGCCTTGATGGTAGGTCTAGTCCAGCTCCATTCTATTCTCTCTCTCCCTCTTCTGGGTGGTGAAGTGGAAAGGAACAGCTACTTCAGCTCTGTACCCTCTAGTTGTCTTAGGGGTCCAATCTCTACTGCAGCCTAGAAAAAGAGCATGTGAGTGAGCAGAGGTGGCTCCTTCTTGCAACTGTCACATTTTTGCTTTAAGTCATGAGTGACTCTGGGCAGAAGGGTCTGTGTGGAGGTGGAGAAGAGAAGGTGTTTCTGCAAAGAGACAAGGAGGAGGGACTCTACCTATCCAAAGGTGATCCAAACCTCCCAAGGGGGTTTCCTTCTGTCAGAGGTGGCAGTTCTTCCTCCGTGAGAGTTGGTCAATTCTCGTGTTCTCTCCCAAAGTACAGTATCTTGGGGCTTTAGCATCTTCCCGACAGTGCTGAGACCTGATGCTAGCCCTATGTCTTTGTCATACTTTGTATGTGCGCGCACACACAAATTCCTCTGCTTCATCAGGATGCTTAGAGCTGCTTAAATGCCCCCACTTAACCCTCCCTAGGCCTTCCTGCAGTGTCCCATACCCATTTTAATTTTACTACCACAAAAACTATTGTTCCTTAATGAATTTGGAAATTTAGAAGAGTGTTGCATCTTGTGCTTTGAACTGTGCATCTGCAGTCCTTGCTGTGTATCTCATGAACATTTCCATTATTCTGGCATGGGTTTGATTATTTTGAATGACCAGCAGCAATTCAGCCAGGGAAGCTTTTCCTATTGCTGCATCTGGTTGCCAGGAAAACCTGCAACCACTGAATTTCTACATGTTGCAACATGGTTATGAAGCCATACTAGAAAAAAAATAGAATCTTATTGGAGTTTCCCCTGGTATCTCTCAGAAGTCTGCAAATAACGGGTTATGTTTCACGTTGTGAACCCAGCATTCGAAATCCCTATTGTGCATCCTGGGAGCATTTGCTGCCTGCAAAGCTTCTGGGATGCTACTTGTATCTTTGATGCAGTGTTATATGTACTTCAACTGGAAGTCTTCATACCATATGGTTGCATAGCAATAAGAGCAAAAATGAAGGATGAAAAAATCATTGCCTTAAAGGTTCATTACATCATACAATGTCGTGTGACATTGAAATGTCTCAGCAATGTGTTTCACATTCAGGAGGAGAAAAACTTGGCTGGTTCACACATAATGCTAAACCAGGAATGGGGAACCTATTTCCCTCCAGATGTCGTTGGACTGCAACTCCCATCAGTCCCAACTAGCATGGCCTTTGGTCAGAGGTAATGGAAACTGCAACAATCCAACAGCATGGTTTAGTGCTGTGTGCATGATTTGGAATTGGCTGGAGTGAAGCCTTGGGCTCGCTTACCCCTCTCCCTCTGCTGCATGGATGAAATAAGGACTTGCACAGTGTTCACGTTTCACTTTCCACTAGTATTTCCTTGTTACGTACAAACCATTGATCTTGGTTTCAAATGTTGATTTTGGTTTCTGCAGAAGCTGATGGGCTGCAGAACAGGAGGAAAGAGGAGGCATGGAAATGGGGGTAGTGCCTACTGTAAGAAATGACAGTAGAGGAGGGATGGGAAAGGGTGTGTGCAAAGGGGGAGTTGTAGAAAAAGGAAGGAGGAGTTGGCATAGGTATGGGAGTGAAGATGAAAGCAGGGATACAAAAGGGGCTGCAGAAAAGGAGGGGACGGTGGCTTCATTTCTGGGTGAAGGTAAAAAGGGTGCTTGGTAGTTAGAATGTGTGGAGGAGGAAGACTCTGGGATAGGGGTTGCAGAAAAGGAGGACAGAGGAGAAGGCATGGCCATGAGAGGAAAGGTGAAATTTGGTACAAAATGGGGCTGCAGATTAGAAGTGGAAGGCTGGGATGATTGCTTGATTAGGCACAATATTCAGCAAATGGAAGTGTATTAGTGAGGGAATGGTGAGCAGAGCCCCGTAGTTAACATATATTTGGAGAAAACTCTGTGGGGAAACTGTGGGTTTCAACCAATATTAAGTTTCTGAATGACACATTTTTTTCTTTATTAAATTAAGTCTGGAAACAGCCTTAAGTTTAAGATAGAAAAATCACTTTTAATTTCTGCTGCATTGGTCAAACATATGAATACATAGTATATATAGATAGATTGATTGATGATTGATTGATTGATTGATTGATCAAACAAAGAAACAAACAGGAGGAAATCTCATAAAACATGTAGTTAAGCCTATATTGACATTGTAGTATTAATGCTGAAGTATTTTCTTCTGGAGTACTGATTTAAAGTCACTGGCAGTGACTTTAATTGATTACTTGCTTTTTACCTCAGGTAGCCAAATTCTTTGCATATGGAGAGCTGCTATCTATACTTTGGTGATTATGACATTTACATTTGGAGAAAATTCCTGAACTTCATCTTGTTTGAAGATAGACATTTGAAATTCTGCTTCCTTAAATGCTTTTATCATATTTAAATAGTACACTTGAAGTGACTCCCTTAGGAATAGGGAAGGATCCAGCAGTCTCAAATTTGGACTCACATTGGTGTGAGTGAGAAAAACAAAGAATGAGCCTTTCCCAATTTAGAATGTTTTAATTGCAGTAATTAGAGATATGACATGGATGGATATGTTTTATATTTTGCCATAGTTCATATAAGGCCAAACTCCGCTCTGAATTCCCACTTAATCACTTGCCATGCTTTGCATCATTTCCTACGTCAATGTGGTTGTAAAAAGCCTAAACACTCTGCTTGTGCTATGTGAATATAAACATTTTAAGTACAAGGATTATAAACAGAAATTGTGTATAGCCATTAAGCTTCCATTGCTTTAATCTAACAAAAATCTCTAGCTAAGCAGTACTGGATTCTCAAGATAACAATTTTAGAATTACCAATTGCTCTATTTTGTGACTTGCTATCTTAATTATGTATACATTTCTTCATTTACTTCCGCTCTAGCTTTTGATCACCTTTTCTTTTCCAATGAGAGATGGAAGACAAATGCATGATTAATGTGTATACTGTGCATGTCATTTTGAGGGTTTTCTTCAAAACTGACTTGGGTTGCTTCCATGCTAGAACTCTTTAATGCTGCTGAGGAATTGCATTTCTGCAATTAGGTGGTAGTGGAAATGAGGCAGATTCTTCACAGCATGCAATATAGCATTATGTTATCCAGTATCTTGGCCAAGATACTTCTTTAATGTCTACTCATATCTAAGTTCAGCTATCTAAGATGCTTTACATTGCTAATGGCAAGCTTTGTGTTTGCTGGTTCAGACATGTTAC